AAAAAAAAAACTAGAAAAGAGCAATAAAATAAAAGTTGTTTTTTAATAACCAAAATTGACAAACCATTAGCCAGACTAAGAAAAAAAGAGAAAATCCAAATAAATAAAATCAGAAATAAAAAAACTATTTGGGAGGCTGAGGCAGGCAGATCACTTGAGGCCAGGAGCTCAAGACCAGGCTGGTCAACATGACAAAATCCCATCTCTACTAAAAATACAAAAATTAGCCAGGCGTGGTGGCAGGTGCATGTAAGCCCAGCTACTAGGGTGGCTGAGGCAAGAAAATTGCTTGATCCCAGGAAATGGAGGTTCTAGTGAGCTTAAGACTGCTCCACTGCACTCCAGCCTAGGCGACAGAGCGCAATTCTGTGAAGAAAAAAAAAGAAAAAAGAAATGAACAAGGAGACGTTAAAACTGATGCTGCAGAAAGTCAAAGGATCATTACTGGCTCCTATGAGCAAATATATGCCTATAAATTGAAAAATCTAGACCAAATGGACTAATTCCTAGATACCTACAACCTCTCAAGACTGAAGCAGGAAGAAACCATAACCTGAACAGACCAATAACAAGTAACAACATCAAAGCCATAATAAAAGTCTTCTAGTAAAGAAAAGCCTGGGACTTTTCTTCACTGCTGAATTCACTGGCTTCACTGCTGAATTCTACCCAACATTAAAAGAAAAACCAATACCAATCCTACTCAAACTATTTTGAAAAACAGAGGAAGATGGAATATTTTCAAACTAATTCTATGAGGCCAGTATTGCTCTCATACCAAAACCAGACAAAGACACATCAAAAAAAGAAAGCTACAGGCCAAAAATCACTGATGAACAATGATGCAGAAATCCTCAACAAAATACCAGCAAATCAAATTCAACAATATATTAGAAAGAATATTCATCATGACCAAGTGAGATTTATCCCTGGGATACAAGGATGAGTCAACATACACAAATTAATGTATGTGATAAATCATATCAACAGAATGAAGAATAAAAAAACATATGATCATTTCAATTGATGCTGAAAAAGCATTTAATAAAACTCAACATTGTCATCATGATATAAACCCTTAAAACACTGGCGATAGAAAGAACATGCTTCACTGTAATAAAAGTCACATACAACAGATCCACAGCTAGCACTGAAATGGCCACATGGTCTGGGGTAACACTGAGAGTTCTTGATCTCACAGACAAGGAAATCAAGGACACGGACACACAAAGAATGAGGTTTAGAGCAGAAATTTAATAGGAGAAAGAAAGAAAACAACTTTCTGCTACAGAGAGGGGTCCCGAAAAAAGGGTTGCCATCCTGCAGTGAAATGCAGGGGTTTTTATAGATAAGCTAGTAGGGAGGCAGTATCTGATACATAGGGTACAAACAACCGGATAGGACCAGGTGTACCATCTGCATAGGGCATGAATCTCTGGCAGCCCCCACCCTAAACTTTTATTATACAGGCAGGTCCTCAGCCTGAGTTACTCCATGTTGCTCATTTCTTTCTTACTGTGCATGTGCTAAAAAAAGGGAAGTGGAACCCTCATGGTGGACATGCCTGGCCCCATGTGGCCTTTTCTATCTGTGCAGCTGCTGGCATCCCCCTATGAAGGTTTCCAGCTTCCTATCTATGTATGATAGAAAATCAGTGTACCAACATTTTATCTTTATATACCATCTCAAGCACAGGATTTAAACTTTCATAAAATATACAGTTATCAGGAGTATTAAAAATCTAGAAATAAATTTAACAATAATGTGAAAGAATTATTTGCAGAAAACTGTAAAACTTTATTAAGAGAATGTTAGCAGTCAAATTTCCAGCATAAGAACAACATTCTTGGTTTCAGTCTTCATTTGTCTTGGTTTAAACCTAAGGTTGCCCATCACCTATAATATAAATATAAAATTAGAACACGTTACTCAGCAGATTTTTATTTAGATGACACGAGAGGTATACAAATACTGTAAAATCAGAACCCTAAGGGTGACCCTTTAGCTTACATCCAGTTAGCCTCTGAATAAACTCTGAAGGTAGTTAACATTTTTAATTCACGCCACATTTTCTAGTACAAAAAGGAAAGAAAAAGACCGTTCGAGTTCAGAATGAATGAAATCAAGTGAATCTATTTTATATGTATAAGAGGAAAGCAAAAAACGCATATACCTTCAGTAAAAATTCAACCAAATAAAAACACAGAGACAGATACACTAGATAAAAAGTCAAGACTCATTGGTGTGACAGATGCAGAAGACCCATCTCACGTACAAAGAACACACAGGCTCAAAATCTCAAAATAAAGGGATGGAGGAATATTGACCAAGAAAATGGAAAGCAAAAAAATAAAAAAGCAGGGGTTGCAATCCTACTCTTGGACAAAACAGGCTTTAAACCAACAAAATACAAAATTAGCTTGGTATGGTGGTGCATGACTGTAATCCCAGATACTAGGGTGGCTGAGGCAGGAGAATCACTTCAAACTGGGAGGCAGAGGTTGCAGTGAGCAGAAACCGTGCAACTGCACTCCAGCCTGGGCAACAGACTAAGACTCTGTCTCAGAAAATAAAACAAAACAAAAAATAATACCATTAAAAAGTGGCCCAAGGACATGAAGAAACACTTTCAAAAGAGGACATGCATGTGGCCAACAAGCATATGAAATAAAACTCAAAGCCACTGATAACTGGAGAAGTGCAATTCAAACCACAATGAGATATCGCCTCACACCAGTCAGAATGGCTATTATTAAAAAGTAAAAAATAAAATAAAATAAAATAACAGATGCTGGTGACGTTGTTGAGAAAAAAGAAACACTTATTCACTGTTGGTGGAAGTGTACATTAGTTCAACCATTGTGGGAAACAGTGTGCTGATTCCCCAGAGACCTAAAAACAGAACCACCATTCGATCCAGCAATCCCATTACTGGGTAGACAGCCAAAGGGATATAAACTGTTCTATCATAAAGACACATGTACGCATATGTTCACTGCAGCACTATTCACAATACCAAAGACATGGAATCAACCAAAAAGCCCATCAATGGTAGACTGGATAAAGAAAATGTAGTACATATATACCATGAAATAGCATACAGCCATAAAAACGAATAACATTATCTCTGTGGCCAGAACATGGATGGAGCTGGAGGTCATTATACTTAGCAAAGTAATGCAGGAACAGAAAACTAAATATTGCATGTTGTCACTTATAAGTGGGAGCTAAAAATGAGAAAAAAATCAACACACAGAGGAGAACAACAGACACTGGGGCCTACCGAAGAACAGAGGATGGAAGGAGAGAGAGGATCAGGAAAAATAGCTCATGAGTACCAGGTTTAATGCCTGGGTAACAAAATAATCTCTACAACAAACCCCCATAACACAAGTTCACCTGTATAACAAACCTGCACCACATGTATGCCTGAACTTAAAAGATACAAAAATAAGAAAAAAAAGATTTCAAAGCAAAACTTTGAGAAGAGACTAAAAGGTCACTATGTAATAATAAAGCAGTCAATTCATCAAGAGGATATTAACAATTTTAAATATATATGCACCCAACACTTGAGCACCCAGATATATAAAACAAAAGCTATTAGAGCTAAAAAGAGAGATAGGCCCTAATAAAATAATAGATGGAGACTTCAACATCCCATATTCAGTATTGGACAGATCTGCCAAACAGAAACTCAACAACAACAACAACAACAAAACAGATTTAATCAGCACTACAGACACATGGATCTAATAGATATTTACAGAACATTTCATCCAACGGCCACAGAATACACATTCTTTTCCTCAGCACATGGATCATTCTCAAGGACAAGACCATATGTTAGGTCTCAAAACATTAAAAAAAAACCTGAAATAATATCATGGATCTTGTCAGACCACAATAGCATAAAACTAGAAATTAATAACAAGAGGAATTTTGGAAACTATACAAATACATGAAAACTAAATAATCTGCTCCTGAATGAATAATGGGTCAATGAAGAAGCTAAGAAGGAAATTTAAAAATTTATTGAAACAAATGATAATGGAAACACAACATACCAAAACCGATGAGATACAGCAAAAGCAGTACTCAGAAAGAGGTTTATAGCTATTAAGTGCCTACAACAAAACAGGTTAAAAACTTCAAATAAACAATCTAATGATGCATCTTAAAGAGCTGCAAAGAAAGAGCAAACCAAACCAAAAATTAGAAGAAAAGAAATAATAAAGATCCCAATAGAAATAAACAAAATTGAAATGAAAAAACCCTACAGTCAGCAGCTCGGGTGGCGGGAGGAGTGGCAGCGGCCAGGCAGCCCAGTTTCGCGAAGGCTCTAGGCGTGCCGTGGCCCACAGGCACCTGGCACGCGCCTTCCCCGCCGCCAGGATGCCCAAGAGGAAGGTCAGCTCCGCTGAAGGGGCCACCAAGGAAGAGCCCAAGAGGAGATCAGCGCGGTTGTCAGCTGATAAATCTTCAGACAAAAAAGTGCAAACAAAAGGGAAAAGGGGAGCAAAGGGAAAACAGGCCAAAGTGGCTAACCAAGAAACTAAAGAAGATTTACCTGCAGAAAACGGGGAAACGAAAACTGAGGAGAGTTCAGCCTCTGATGAAGCAGGAGAGAAAGAAGCCAAGACGTATGTACCATGTCTTACCAGTGGTCCCTGTCTCCCTTCTTGTACAATCCAGAGGAATATTTTTATCAACTATTTTGTAAATGCAAGTCTTTTAGTAGCTGTAGAAACATTTTTTAAGAAGGAGAGAATACCACCTCATCCCATTTTTTTTAAGTGTAAATGCTTTTTTTTTAAGAGGTGAAATCATTTGCTGGTTGTTTATTTTTTGGTACAACCAGAAAATAGCGTAGGATATTGAATTATGGGAGGCTTTGACTGTCTCGGGTGTCAGCTTAACATTCCATAGATGGGGGGTTAGTTTTTATGTCCTATAATACAAAGCACATTAAATGGCAATATGGAGTCAGTCCTGCATTTAATGTCTTGAACATTTTATTTTACTTCTATTCTCATGTTTTTTAGTAGAATTGTTTCCTAAAGAAAACCACTCCTTGTTCATGGCGCTCCCTGTCAGAATTGTGTGCACTCTGTAACATCTTTGGTTGTGGTAGTCCTGTTTTTCTAATAACTTTGTTGCTGTGCTGTGAAAGATTACAGATTTGAATATGTAGTGCACATGCTATTCAGTTGTGAACTGGTGGGCCATATGTAACAGCTGACCAACATGTGAAGATACTGGTATTTGATAGCCTCTTAAGGAAAATTTGCTTCCAAATTTTAAGCTGGAAAGTCACTGGAATAACTTTAAAAAAGAATTACAACACGTGGCTTTTTAGAATTTCGCTACATATGTTAAGAATTGTGTACAGATTGAAATGTCTGTACTGATCCTCAACCAATAAAATCTCAATTATGAAAAAAAAAAGAAAAAACCCTACAAAAGAGCAATAATGCAAAAGTTTCCTTTTTTAATAAGTTAACCAAAATTGACAAACCTTTAGCCAAACTAAGGAAAAAAGAGAGAAACCCAAATAAATAAATCAGAAATGAAAAAGGATTTGGGAGGCTGAGGCAGGTGGACCACCTGAGGCCAGGACCTCAAGACCAACCTGGCCAACATGGCAAAACTCCATCTCTACTAAAAATACAAAAATTAACCAGGCGTGGTGGTGGGCACCTGTAATCCCATCTACTAGGGTGGCTGAGGCAAGAGAATTGCTTGAACCCTGGAGGTGGAGGTTCTAGTGAGTTGAGACTGTGCCACTGCACTCCAGCCTGGCGACAAAAGGAGACTCTGTCTCGAGGAAAAAAAAAAAAAAAAGGAAAAGAAGAGAAAAAAAAGAAAGAAATGAAAAAGAAGACATTACAAAACTGATGCTGCAAAAATTCAAAGGATCATAACTGGCTCCTATGAGAAACTCCATGCCTAAAAATTGGAAAATCTAGAAAAAAAATGGACTAATTCCTAGATACATACAACCTCCCAAGATTGAATCACGAATCCATAACCCGAACAGACCAATAACAAGCAACGAGATCAAAGCCATATTAAAAGTCTTCCAGTAAAGAACACCCAGAACTGATGGCTTCACTATTGAATTCTACCCAACATTTAAAAAAGGACTAATACCAATCCTACTCAAACTATTTTGAAAAATAGAGGAGGAGGGAATAGTTCCAAACTCATTCTATGAGGCCAGTATTACCCTGATACCAAAATCAGACAAAGACACATCAAAAAAAGAAAACTACAGGGCAAAACCGCTGATGAATATTGATGCAGAAATTCTCAACAGACTAGCAGCAATCAAATTCAACAACACATTAGAAAGAATCATCATCATGACCAAGTGAGATTTATCTCTGGGATGGAAGGATGGTTCAACATACGCAAATCAACTGATGTGATAAATCCTATCAACGGAAAGAATGTTACAAACCATATAATCATTTCAATTGATGCTGAAAAGCATGTAATAAAACTCAGTATGTCATCATGATACAAACCCTCAAAACACCGGGGAAAGAAGGAACATACTTCAATGTAATAAAAGCCATATACCACAGACCCACAGCTAGTATTGAAGTGGCCTCGTTGTCTGGGGTAACACCTGGAGTTCTTGGTCTCACAGACAAGGAAATCAAGGACATGGGCACAACAAAAGTGAGGTTTAGAGCAGAAAGTTAATAGAAGAAACAAAGAGAACAGCTTTCTACTACAGACAGGGGTCCCAGAAAAAACGTTTGCCATCCTGCAGTGAAATGCAGGGGGTTTTATGGATGAACTAGTGGGGAGGCAGTATCTGATCATCTACATAGGGTACAAACAACCGGTTAGGACCACGTGTACCATCTACATAGGGCGTGAATCTCTCCCAGGCCCCACCCTAATCTTTTATTATGCAGGCAAGTCCTCAGCTTGAGCTACTCCTTTTCTATCTGTGCAGCTGTTGGCATCCCCCTATGAAAGCTTCCAGCTTCCTATCTATCTATGATAGAAAATCAATGTACCAACATTTTATCTCCATGTACCATCTCAAACACAGGATTTAAATTTTCAAAAAAGATAAAATTCTCAAGAGTATTAAAGATCCAGAAATAAATTTAACAAAAACGTGCAAGGATTCTTTGCAGAAAACTGTAAAACTTTATTAAGAGAATGTTATCAGTCAAATTTCCAGATTAAGAATAACATTCTTGGTTTCAGTCTTCATTTGTCTTGGTGTAAACCTATGGTTGCGCATCACCTATAACATAAATATAAAACTAGGGCCCGTTACTCAGGAGATTTTTATTCATATGACACTAGAGTCATACAACTACCGTGTTGATGAACTAATATCATAACCCTGAGGGTGACCCTTTAGCTTACATCCAGTTAGCCTCTGAATAAACTCTGAAGGTAGACTTCCAGGCATATTAACAATATTTTTAATTCATGCCACTTTTTCTAGTAGAATAAGGAAACAAAGAGACTGTTCAAGTTCAGAATGAATTAAATCAAGTGAGTCTGTTTTGTATATATAAGTGGAAAGCAAAAAAAAAAAAAAGCGCATATACTTTCAATGAAAATTCAACGAAACAAAATCCTAAGGGAAAAAGATATTTTCAAATTATCATTCAAATATTTTGATATGAAATAACACTCTGAATATAGAACATGCTCAGAACTCCGTAAGTGAAGGAAATAGAATAGTATTACATTTGTTTTGTGTCTCTTATGAAAAAGTGTAAAAACGTTACTTTGGACTAGTTTAGCCATTATGTACTTGCTTTAAGTAGGGCGAACATTTGTCACTATTTTCACCGGAATTCTTGCCTCTTTACATGCCTAAAAGCAGTTCAGTTTACACAGTAAACTGAACATCCGCGCTAGCTTTAAGTCGTTACCATCACAGTTAACACTGCAATATAAACTGATGCTTATTATAAACATCTTACGTATTTGTTAAAAACAGGCCTCTATAAAAATATCTGAAAATTATTGGCTGTTGGTTAAATGACTTACATTCAAAAGTCAGAACACGTTTTCATATCTTTTTTTAAAAATGACACATAAAATCTATATAGTTATCATGCATAACATGATGCTTTAAAATATATATACACATTGTGAAATGGCTATATCAAGCTAATTAATATCTGCATTACTTCAAATAGCTGTGAAGACACTCGATATCCTCTCTTAGCATGTTTCATATCTTTCATATCGTAATCCAATTAGCTTTGACCCAATTTTTCTCCATCTCTTCAAGTCCTCACCTCAAGTGATCCTTCTGCCTTGGCCTTCAAAGTGCTGGAATTAAAAACATGAGCCAGCATACCTGACCCTCTCTCTCTGACAGTGTGTAAGGCAGCCATCTGGGATCTGAACTACCTTCAAAGAATCTTTAGACGTGAAGTATGGTATTAAAGTAGCAGTAATTTTACCTCTGTGTCACAAAAATATAATATTGTGAAAACAGACACCCTATAGTTTGCATCTTAATTGAACAACATACCTGCTTCCAGCACTTTAGTGGGATCAAAAGTGGGCAGAGTCCCCTCCCTGACATCAGGACCATCTCCAGGCTCATCCTCTATCTTAAGCAGAGCCAATTCCTGTTGAAAAGCTTCCACGTCAGGCCCTTAAAAGATAAAAAGGTCATCAGTTTACAAATTAAAACATGAACTATGAACGAGGAAATGATAATGTTTATTCCCTCATCATTATGAAATAAAAACCTGTAGGTTAATCATTTAAGGAGTCTGTTGCCAGGAAAACAGGAAAGCAGTGATGTTCAAACATTGCCCTTTCCTTTCCCAAGGCTGGCCCTAGACAACTTGCCCCTTTTGTACTCATTTGTTCTTATTCTTATCACATTAAATCAGTGATTTGTTTGAGTCAGTCTGACTAGACTATGAGCTTTAGGCAAAAATTTGGCACTGACATCTCCAGCACTTAGTATATTACGCAGCATGAGAAAGCATTAATAAATCTGCGTTAAACAGTTTCTTAAAAAATACATGAGATGTCCGCAGATGGCAGACTGGGAAGCTGCAAGCTGCCATTCTTCCACAGAAACATAAAACAAAACAAAGCTAAACAAAAAACAGAATATGGCTGAACAAACCATACAGGAGCTCCGGAAAACATTCAAAGGTTTACAGCAACCATGCAAATACTCAATCAATAAAAAGCCTCTATCAAAATGGTAGGAAAGTTTTGTGACTTTTTATGTGTCCTTGTCCCACCCCTCCCCACAGCAGCAGCAGGAAATGTTTAGGATCCCTTCCTAATGTTTTCTGGCCTCCTGTTACTGGTATGTCATAAAATATAAGGCATAAATATACCTCCACCACCCATAAGCATTATTCTCCACTCTCCCTTCACCTTGAACAGCAGGTGTTCCTTCATTTTCAATCTCCCCACTAGGTGCAATACCCTGATTTTCATTTGGTGGTTCCTCTTCTTGACGTTTTTCCTCAGCGGGCTGCTGGACCTAAGGGTGTAAGTGTGTGTGCGAATAAAAAGTCAATAACATAAATACACAAATGCATACGTGCATCGAATTATAAATCTAAAGGCATATATATATATAGAGAGAGAGAGAGAGAGAGAGGGAGAAAGAGAGAGAAATATCCATATCCATACAGGTAACACCAGAATATAATATTCCTGAACCAAAGTTTCCTTCATGAGATGCCATCATCATTTTTTATCAGCATGGAACATCTGTATCAGTGCATGTACACTAGCTCAAAAATATTTTTAAAAATAAACTGTGTTAATAGAAAACATCAAATGTTAAAGGACTCACAATCACAGATTCAACCGGCTGGGAAGACTCTCGGTCATTTCCTCTTTCTGAGGATTGGGATCTTGTTCTTACATGCTCACTCATATTTCCCACTGAAAATAGAACATTGTTATTTGAAAAAAGTGTGTAGCTTAGCTATATATATGAATATTCCATGGCAAAATGGTGATTTGTACTTTTTTAATTTTGAAAATATTTTCAAAATAATTCACAGAGCAATGATAAGTACGCATGTTTTCCAATCAAACTACGGACAGATTTGTTTGTGTCATAGTCGAAGAGGCACAGAAATCACCTTAACGCCATAGCAAAACACAGAGGACTTAGATTCTGAGTTTTGGTTTCACAATGAGACTCTCCATCATGAAGACATTTAGGAAAAAACGGACAGAGAATTCAAACCGAAATGACTACTGCTTTCGTCCCACTTTGATTTACTAGGCGCATTTCCCCCCCTACATACCCCCTACCAAAATCAAGTTTTGTTGGAACGCACAGCCTCACCCATTCCTTCCCATGACGTCCACGGCGGAGGTGAGAAATCGTTAAACAGAGTGAATGTTATGCTCCTCAATGGACACCTCTGCCAGGCACTCTACAGACCTCAGGCCGCAGTCACCCGCCCACAGCGTTCCCAGTTCCCAGGTCCCTTCCTTACGGACCACGCCGTCCTTCCCTCATCCCTACCGAGGAGTCTGGAAACTGTCCTCTCTCCAATGGTTCCAGTTTTAGGGACTCAGATACCTCTAACAGTACCCCCAGCACTCGCCCCACCTTCACGTGATCCCTCCCCTCCACGGCCCACCTTCATCCCTTGTTCCAGCCCAGCCACTATGTCAAGACCCATAGCAGCATCGCGACTTGGGAGGAACCGGACGACGACCGCGAGGCCCCTTTCACTCAGAAGCCACAGACTGTGCCGCAAGACCTGTTCAAAGCCCGCTGGCTCCTCCTCACATTCACTCACAACGAAATTCCCAGGAAGACCGCTCTGAAGACCTACCTGCTGAGCCCCAGTCAGTGAGAAACAATCAAAATGGCGGAAAGAAAGAAAACACAGCCTCTCCTCGCAAAGCTCTGCGTGGACAGAAGGTAGGCAACAAGGCGCATGCGTAACAACAGTCATGCATAGCAACAGAAATCCACAGCAACAGATCTGTGTAGCGTGTGCACTGAGTGAGGCATTCACCACGTGACTGAAGTTTTCCTGCCTCTGTGGAGAACCTAGACTACAAGCTCTCCTGACACCAAAACTGAACTTACAAAACATTTTTCTTTTTCCCCCTGCCCAACCTTTCTTTCACTTCCAATGGCTTTGGAGAATATGAGCCCCAGGTTACTCTAAGGGAAGAATGTGTTTCAGAAAAATTCACCATCATAGAAATAAATATTAAATATTTTAATACGTATTTTATATTTGCTATCATAAATCATTTTCTTGCCTCCTTCATGAGTCTGCTGTCATGTTTGCAATGAACTTACCCACTCCAATACGATAAGACATTCATAGTTTTTGGTTGCATTATTGTACATTCAAAATCATTGATCCATCTGAACAAAATTAATGTGATAGGGACTCAAAATTTTTGTTGAATCCCTGTTTCACTCAGTGTTTTGAAATGGCTCTTTTATCGTCACCTACATCCCCACTCAATTTGGTGTGTAACTCTCTACTTTTAATTTTCTTCTATTGAGTTGTTTATAACTGCACCACTACTATATTTTTTAATTGCTGTAGCTTGATTATATTTGAAATGTCAAATAATGCTTGCCCTCCCTCACTGATTTCTCCTTTTCTATCAATTCTGACACGTTGGTCTTTCAGATGAACTGCAGAATCATTTGATCAGGTGCTAAAATATTCCTGTTGAGATACTAGCTATTATTTTTAAATTACATCTTAGGGATAATAACTATCTTTCTATTTTAGAATCTCTCTATCCAAGAAAAAGCCACTACTCAATTCCTCAAGTCTTTTTACGTATCCCTCGCAATGAGTGTTATTTACTTCATATTCGTTCTTCACATTCAAATTAAATTTATTCTTGGGCACTTTTATTGTTCCATTCCATTGCTGACAGGTGATTGCTTTCACCCCACTATGTTTTTCACAGAAGTCAAACAATCTCTGTTTGCAAACAATATGATTCTATACCTAGACAATCCTAGACTCTCTGCCCAAAAGCTCCTTGATCTAATAAACAACTTCAAGAAAGTTTCAGGATACAAAATGAATGTACAAAACCCAGGAGTATTTCTATATACCAACAACCTTCTAAGCTCAAAGTCAATTCAGAAACACAATCCCATTCACAAATGCCACAAAAAGAATAAAACACCTACGAATACAGCTAGCTAGGGAGGAGAAAAATCTATTCTATGAGAACTGCAAAACACTACTCAAAGAAATCAGAGATGACACAAACAAATGGAAAAACATTCCATGCTCATGAACAGGAAAAACAATATTGTCAAAATGGCCAAACTGACCAAAGCAATTTATACACTCAATGATATTCCTACTAAACCACCAATGACATTCTTCACAGATTTAGAAAAAAAAAAAAAAAAAACTATTTTCAAATTTATATGGGATGGTTGGTGGGGATCTGGCAAGATGGCCAAATAGGAACAGCTGCGGTCTGCAGCTCCCAGCGAGACCAACACAGAAGGCGGGGGACTTCTGCATTTCCATCTGAGGTACTGAGTTCATCTCACTGAGACTGGTTAGGCAGTGGGTGTAGCCCCTGGAGGGCGAACAGAAGCAGGGTGGGGCATTGCTCCACCTGGGAAGTGCAAGGAGCGAGGGTTCTCCCTCTCCCAGCCAAGGGAAGCCATGAGGGACTGTGCTGTACTGCCCAGATACTATGCTTCTCCCACGGTTTTTGCAGTCCACAGACCAGGAGATTCCCTCACATGCTAACACCATCAGTGCCCTGGGTTTCAAACACGAAACTGAGCAGCTGTTTGGGCAGACACTGAGCTAGCTGCAGGAGTTTTATTTATTTATTCATTTATTTATTTATATTATTTCATACCCCAGTGGCACCTGGAACCTCAGCGTGACAGAACCCTTCACTCCCCTGGAAAGGAGTCTGAAGCCAGGGAGCCAAGTAGTGTCACTCAGTGGGTCCCACTCCCATGGAGCCCAAGAAGCTATGAAACACTGGCTTGAATGTGTCACTGCCAGCACAGCAGTCTGAAGTCAACCTGGGACGATGGAGCTTGGTGGGGCAAGGGGCATCCACCATTACTGAGGCTTGAGTAGGCAATTTTCCCCTGACAGTGTTAAGGAAGCTGGGAAGTTCAGACTGGGTGTAACTCACTACAGGGCGGCAAAGTGGCTGTGGCCAGACTGCCTCTCTAGATTCTTCCTCACTGGGCAGGGAGGGCATCTGTGAAAGAAAGTTAACAGCCCCAGTCAGGGTCTTATAGATAAAACTCTCATCTCCCTGGGACAGAGCACCTCAGGGAAGGGGCAGCTGTGGGCACAGCTTCAGTGGACTTAAACGTTCTTGCCTGCCAGCTCTGAAGAGAGCAGTGCATACTGAAAAGGTTTTGCAGCACAGTGCTCGAGCTCTGCTAAGGGACAGACTGCCTCCTCAAGTGGATCCCTGAACCCCCTGCCTCCTGACTGGCAGAGACCTCCCAGCAGGGGTCGATTGACATCTCATACAGGAGAGTTCTGGCTGGCATCAGGCCGCTGCTCCTCTGGGACAAAGCTTCCAGAAGAAGGAGCAGGCAGCAATCTTTGCTGTTCTGCAGCCTCTACTGGTGATACCCAGGCAAATAGGGTCTTCAGCGGACCTCCAGAAAACTGCAGCAGATCTACAGAAGAGGGGCCTGACTGTTAGAAGAAAAGGTAACAAAGAGAAAGCAATAACATCAACACCAACATAAAGGACCACTACACAAAAACCACATCCAAGGGGAGGGAGAGCATTAGGACAAATACGTAATGCATGTGGAGCTTAAAGCCGAGATGATGGGTTGATAGGTGCAGCAAACTACCATGGCATATGTATACCCATGTAACAAACCTGCATATTTTGCACATGTATGCCAGAACTTAAAGTACAATAAAAAAGAAAAGCAAAAAAGAACAGTGCCCAGTATATCACATTACAAGAAATGTTAAGAGACATCTTTCTTATAGAAGGAAAATAAAAACAGGTAGAAATTTTGATCTAAACAAAGGAATTAAGAGCACCAAAAATGGTAATAATGTTAAGTATGTAAGATTATTTTCTTCTAATTAAGGGTTGTACTCACGTATGGATGTTTCTGCACTTGTTTTTTGTTTTTTGTTTTTTGTTTTTCCCAAAGTGAAAGCAAGTTGATAAGTTGATTAACAAAGTAAAGGAATAAAAGAATGGCTACTCCATAGATAGCGCAGCCTCAAGGGGTGCTGTTGCCCACTTTTATGGTTATTTCTTGTTGATATGCTAAACAAGGGGTGGATTATTCATGCCCCCCCCTTTTTAGACCATATAGAGTAACTTCCTGACAGTGCCATGGCATTTGTAAACTATCATAGTGCCGATGGGAATGAAGCAGTGAGGACGACCAGAGGTCATTCTCATTGCCATTTTGGTATTGGTGGGTTTTGGCTCGCTCCTTAACTGCAACCTGTTTTATCAGCAAGGTCTTCATGACTTGCATTTTGTGCTGACTTCCTATCTCTTCCTGTGACTTAGAATGCCTTAACTGTCTGGGAATGCAGCCTAGTAAGTTTAAGTCTCATTTCACCCAGCTCCTATTTAAAATGGAGTTGCTCTGGTTCACACACCGCTGATGAAGATCCATCTTCTGTAACTTCCTCAGACTGAATAGGGCCTATGATATTCCTGCCTAACCGTGAGGGTTTCTTGCATTCAAGGTAGAGAGGAGCTCAGTCAGAAAGCACCAGTATAGTAAGGTCCACTCATAACTCTTGAGTTTCAACAAAAGGTGATATCTGGAAGATTAATAGGTGTTTAAGAAAACATTCAGTAAGCTTGTCCTATATTCCTACACAAAGAATATAACAGCAATATATTCCACAAGAGTAAAGCAAAATAAGTACAGTTATTCCAAATAAACTAAATTAGAAGGCTTTTCATGAACTGGGCAACTGTTGGAACTAAGCTGGTGTGGGGTTGTTAGCTGATTACAATGTGTAATTAGAATACTGATCCAGTATTCTAATTACTGATTAGAATACTTATCCAGATTTTTATATTACCCATCCCTCTTGTTTCTGCTGAGCAACAGTCAGAGACCACTGGTTTGGTTCACAAGAATAAGCAGGGCTACCCTAAATTGCAGAAATAAACTTAAAAACAACTGATGAGACTAGAATCTAACAAGTATACCATAGCTTTTGAAACATAATATTTCCTCTCCAGTTTCCCATTTTTACTAAAGACAAATCATGGTAAGACAGATTTCCTTTATTATACTTGGCATGATTATTTGTATAAAGTGCAGCAAAAATAATTATTTTTCACTTAAGCTCTTTTTAAATTGGCATTGATGGAACTCTGTTCCATAGAAGGAATTTCAGATAAGACTTTTTTAAAGCCGAGCCCAACCATGGGTTTGTACCCTTAAATACCTATGAGTTGGGTAATTTTTTCCTCTCGAGGTCCCAAGATAACTTGGGGCTTCTGGACCTGTCAGAAAGTGACATTCTTTACTCACTACCGGTCAGAAACCCTGCACAGGGACTGTTGTAGGCAAGGTATGAGGCCAGTTCCCCACAAGGCTTTTATTGGCTCTATAAGTCAAGTTTAATTCCCTAAAGGAAAACACACCATTCTAGTCAAAACCTTGGTAAAATAATCAATTTCTCCAACTGTTTCCTGTTACAAAAGAAAACAGATTCTTACTGCACTTATGCAAATAACAATATTGCCATAAGTTAAGAACACTCACGACTAGTTTCCAAATTCTGGCAAAATCGGGCAGACAGAAACAAATATGCTACAAATTTTGTTCACAGGAGTATAT